CATAGTAGAGAGAGGAGGAAAGGGTAGAGGGAAGGGGGAATGGATTTCAAGGTGGGCAAGGTTAGTTGGAGCTGCCGGTGGCACACAAGGGATGGGGGAAGGCGATTTATTTATTTTTTTCAATTTTAATTGTTTAAAAGATATACAATTTTTGTTATAATGAATTTTCCATGTTTAAAATACCCTTAAAAATATATGGAAAATTGGATGGTGTTAAAGTCAGACGATAAATCATGAATTTTGAAAAATTAAGGTGACATTTCTCTTAAATTTTTCTTCAAGTGACAAATTGAAACTATAGTATAAGTTCAGGTGACATTTCTACAAATTGAAACTTTGGTATAATCATATAGCATTTGTCTTAAAATTGTTGAGCGTTAGCAAGCAAAACATACATTCACTCATGGAAATAAGAAAGAGAAGGTATAAAATAAAATCAGTGTCAATTTAGTTCCATGCACAACAATTTTAATTTTGAGTGCATTCTACTTTTAATATCCCAACTCCAAAGTGTCTTCTAATTTGCTTAAGTGGAGGCCACTATTATGCTTGTCATGGAAACAAGGAAGAGAAGGGTCATAACAATCTATAAAAACAGAACGTGTAAATAATGGTAACATGAGCAGCTCATCCCATAGCATAGACAACCTCAAAAGATTTCATATTGAACTTCAACGACCGTTCGCTTGTCAAAATTCTTGAAATGTATGGAAACATTGAGTATATGTAACATTCGACGAATAAGCTATAATGTGTAGAGACAAAGCTTTTGTTGGAAACAACAATCGGTATCAAACTGGCTGTCCTTGAAGGATTCATAGACAAAGCTATAATCTTTCAATGCGGGACAAGAGGAAATTGAACTTCAACAATACGAGCTTTAACAGGTTTAAGTACACAATCCATGGCTGTCTTTGAAGGATTCATAGACAAAGGCCAACAAACTGGCTGCATATGGCATTACATAGAAAGTAACTTTCAACAGCATCATCATCATCCGATAACGTTTTCTTGCAAGAAAACCAAACGAAGATGTGCCCCCCAGGGTTTAACATTAGTTTATCTTGTTTGAGATGAAGAATTCTTCATCAACACAAAGAGAGCTTTTCCATGCGGTCAGATCAGATGAAGGCCGCCCCTCCAAACACAAATGAACTATCTGCAGGACAAGATAGCTCCGATCAAAGAGCTAATAGAAAGCATATTATTATGATAACTATGAGATTGTTTTTTTTTCTATTTTTGGGTGTTGTTTGTCACAATCCAAGGCTGTCTTTGAAGGATTCATAGACAAAGGCCAACAAACTGGCTGCATATGGCATTACATAGAAAGTAACTTTCAACAGCATCATCATCATCCGATAACGTTTTCTTGCAAGAAAACCAAACGAAGATGTGCCCCCCAGGGTTTAACATTAGTTTATCTTGTTTGAGATGAAGAATTCTTCATCAACACAAAGAGAGCTTTTCCATGCGGTCAGATCAGATGAAGGCCGCCCCTCCAAACACAAATGAACTATCTGCAGGACAAGATAGCTCCGATCAAAGAGCTAATAGAAAGCATATTATTATGATAACTATGAGATTGTTTTTTTTTCTATTTTTGGGTGTTGTTTGTGTGGGGGTCGTTCCGAGCAACGGACTAGTGCTAAGAATATAAACAAAGGTGCCAACTTTCAAATATATAAAAGCAAACTTACATTTGTTTTTTGACTTCACTAAGGTCAATTGGCAAACCTCCCCACAATCGCCTTCAAGATCATGTGATGATGGTCAGTAATTAGTAATCTTGTAAGCTTCATAATACAAGGAACAGAGATTGTGAGAGAGTGGAGCAATACCTTGGAGAGATCTCAGCCCTATGTTTTCTTCTACAGCTTTCATTCCTTCTCGAAATCTTAAAATTCAACTCATCAGAGCATGCATTTCTTGAGTTTGTTGGAAGATGATAAGGTCATTCTACCTTAAAAGAGCATGCAATACGCTTTAGTTTTCTTCCATTAGCAGCAGTTACCTTGAAATCTCAAAATACACAATGCATGCCAAATTGGGTCAAGTTGGGGTAGTTCCCATTGGGAATCTTACGCAGAGAGTCTAGAGATACAACAAAGAAAACAATTCTAATGAAATGGAACTGTAGTTCGGAAGTGAAAGGCACAGAAAAGGATCAACAGAATTTTACCTTCACGTGTTTTCTCATACTTTTGTTCCTCATCAGATTTTGAAAAGCCAAGTCTAATAGCTATACAATGAGGATTTCAACTCGATTGCTTTCCATTTTCATGCATATCTCAGCTCAATAAGATACTCCTAAGTTCAAGACATTAAGAATTGGATCATTAGATTCATCTTAGAAAATGAACAAACTAATTTCTCTAGTTAACCCCAACTCATGTAGCTTCTGAAAACTAATTTCCAATCAACAAGTATGTATAAATTTTCATCCATCTCAAATTAAATTCATAAATAACGTTTTCAAGTTATTACCTACAGAAAGGAATTTTATGATGAAAGATTACCTAATCATGAATGGACATGTTATGCTTGTTATGCTAGATTCAGATCTCTTCACCACATTGTCCAAATGCTGGTCTGTTGCTAGAGCTCCACCTGGAGAAGATTTCCTTCCCCTTTGTTTGCCACAATTTGTTTGTAGAAAAACAAAAATCTATATACAACAGTAAACTCTCCTCGGGCAGTGACATGAAAGAAACCTGCAAATGAGAACTGTTTATGAGAAGGCATGTTATCGCAGAGTGACTAATAACTCAGCATTTGAGACTAGACAGACATAAGTTGTGATCAGCAGGCTCTTGGATACCGATAAGGACCAGCCCCAGTGAGAAACAAAGTGACAGAATTATCAGAATTTATTAAGTTTAATACCAATAAAATCAAATTTGCAATTCAAGGCAAGATTCTTTTTTACAGAAAAAGAAAATGCTAATGAACTATAGCTGTCGTTCCATTTTGAGCAAGTAACGTTTTAGAGTCCTTCAGAAGTTAAAGGCGCAGAGAAAGAACAAAGACAAGCCTTACCTTCATTTGTTTTCTCCCACTCTGTTCCAGATCAAATTTCGAAAAGCCTGCTTCTTCTAATAGCTTTTTAATATGGACGGTTACTTGAGTGCTTTCACTTCCCATGCATACCTCAGCTCAACTAGATGCTCCTAAATCCGAAGGAGAAATTAATTCTACAGACTTTAATTAAATCTAATTATTGCAGCTTCATAAAAATAAATCTAACAAATGATAATCCAATTATTAGACAAGATAAACATGGAATAATGAAAAGGATTTTAACTCGATTGCTTTCCATTTTCATGCATATCTTAGCTCAACAAAATACTCCTAAGTTCAAGACATTAAGAATTGGATCGTTAGATTCATCTTAGAATATGAACAAACTAATTTCTCTAGTTAACCCCAACTCGTGTAGCTTCCGAAAACTAATTTCCAACCAACAAGTATGTACAGGAAAATAGATATGAGAGAGACTAGTTGATACGTTAAAAACTTAAAAGGGAAACAGTGAAGGGGACGACACTGAAAGATGCATATTCAATTATCAAATGTTATAATGAAGCATCAGATCTTCTGCAAAGGTTCAGTTGCTTGTTAGAAATAATCAATGGCATGGAAATTAGGTAGATTTATGTGAACCCAATTGTGCTTTGTTTTGAACTTGAATTATAAACATCTAGTTGTGTAATACTTTCTTAAGCTACCTGAAAAGTTTGAATTGGAAATGGCATCGTATCAAATAGGAACACGAACAGGAACTTTGTCTCTAGTAACGAGAACAGACCTGGGCATCCATCATATATTTCTAATTCTTCAAGAGATAAGTAGTCCATGTTACGAGTAGTAGTGGCCCTTTCATCATGTAGAACCCCACACTTGTCTAAAGTCAGCTCCTTGGGATGAGGAAAATCTGGACACCGGCCTTCTGGTCTTCATTCCTCCCACCCTGGCAATTATCTATTACAATAACGGGGAAGCAAAATAAATCAGGGAGAGTGCAGACCAATTGTTTGTTTATTGCCCAGTATCTCAAATTTGTGGTATGTATTATTCAGGAAGGCTGGAGTGAGTTAGCTAACATCAGAAGGGGAGGAAAAGGAGGGTTTTCGACAATTATAAGGGGTTGGGGACGGAAGAGCTTCCGAATAGGGTGAGGTTCCTATCTTCACCTTGAGCATTGGTTTGATCATAATTCAGGGATGGAAGGCAGCTCAAGGATAATTTCTTTGTTAAAGCTCTTATAGTTGTATTTCTCTTAAGATCAGCTCTGTTCCTGTTCTGTGGTGGACGAGTACTTGTTCACTTCTGTGGTATTTTACTATCTTTTTTCAATAAAAAATGTTTCTTCTAAATAAACAAGTCATTAATGAAGTGGGCAGCATTAATATTCATTGCATAAGGAATACTTCTGTGATTCCAAACCGGAGGAAAATCATAGTATTGTTCAAGACCAAGCATGGAGTTTCCTCAACGTCATCTGTCCTAGAACTTGAGCTCTCACAGGTTAATCATACATATGTACACATTTTCATCCAAGCATGGAAACTCATAAATGATGTTTTCAAGTTATTACGTAGGGAAAGGAATTTTACGATGAAAGATTACCTAATCATGAATGGACAGTAATGCTTGTTATGTTAGATTGAGATCCGTTTACCACATTGTCCAAATGCTGGTCTCTTGCAAGAGCTCCACCTTGACAACATTTCCTTCCCCTTCTTTGCCGCAATTTGTTTGTAGAAAAACAAAAATCCATATACAATGGTAAACTCTCCTCGGGCCTGGTTGCCTATATAAGTTGCTTTGACCTCCAAACATCTGCAAGTACACATCCAACATTTCAAGTCTCATCAAATGGAACTTTGTAGCTGAAGGAATGATTTGTTGGACAGAAAAAAAAAAATTCATTTGCAGATAAGATATTATATGCATATCTACACAATCATATAGATAAAGCTACTAGGTAATGAAGCAGCAGCTAGACCAGGGAGATGGGTACATGGCAGTATGTAAGATAATACAATAACCGCTGGTAAGAGATTGTTTTTGTTACTACTGATTTTTATATTTAGAAGGTACAACAAATAGAAGAACAATCTTACAAACGTCAAAAGCACGTCTTAGAGGTTGTGCACTTGAGATGACAAAAATAATGCATATATTCTTCAAATATTCGATTGTCGGAAAAATAAAAATAAAATTCGCACCATGAAATACATGAACTATTCAGAAATTGATTCTCTGAGATTTTTTTGCCATTGTACCTATGTTAAAAGTAGGCTTCTTCAGTTCAAAATAAGCATTAAGTATCGATCAAAACTTTTTCTTTTTGATAAAACAGGGGACAAGTTAACACAACCTCAAAACAGAGACTAAACATCCTAACAATACATGAACGAAATTTAAACAGAGTGTGCCTATGGTCATAACTCAAAAATGAATATGAATTAAATAATAATAAAAAAGTGCTGAACAACAGAGAGCGAGCATGATCTGGGAAGAAGCATTTGATGCAACTGTAAAGGTTAATTGGATGCAAAATTGTGGACATAAAAATAGTTTAAAATGTGTATTTTGGTTCAGAGATTGTGGTCACCCACCGTTAGTTATTAATCCAATGATTCAAAAAAGTTTCTTAAAAGGAGTGCAAGAGTGAGTGAACCGTTGAATGTGACCACAAATCTCTTGAACCCCTGTAGTCCAAGAGATCAAGACTATTATTTGGATAGTGAATTTCAGTTTTTGTATTGAATTAGAAGAAAAGCAGTTAAAGCGGTTATTTGAAGTACATACCTGACTAGAGTTTGTTTGTCTCTATGTGAGAAAGAGAGAGGTCATATCATCATATGATGACTTCATCATTTATCTTGATGCATGGAATGTGAGATATGTTGGCCCAATGATCTTGTCTTGTCTTATTCTGATACCTTTTCTCCAGGCCGGAACATTTGTAGATGCTCAGATAAGAAAGAGATGGCGGCAGATCCTCTTCTGGCAGGAATTGGAAATTGTCACAATAACTAATTTCTAGCCTTTGAAGAGAAGTGAGGTGTTGAAGTGCCTCTCCTGGCAGGAATTGGGGATTGTCACACCGACTAATTACTAGCCTTTGAAGAGAAGTGAGGTGTTGAAGTGCCTCTCCTGGCAGGAATTCCAGACTCTTACAACAATTAATAGATAGAATTCGAAGAAAAGTAAGGTGTGCAAGTCCCTTTCCATCCAAAGATTTCAGAGTTGATAATGAAGAGAACCTGAGAAAGCGAAGAGTGGTAGGGAGCAGCTGTTGCTTGAGCAACGTCTCCAAGATTTCATCACTTCCCCTGCCACCAATTGTAAATTGTTCAAGGGAGACAAGTGCTTGCAAACCCCAGTTACAGTAGTCTCCCACTGATGAAGATGAAGCCCTCAGTCTCTCACAATTCTCAATGCTCAAATCTCGGAGGTTGGGAGGCAAACCCCCATCTTCTGCAATTGACTCCATATTTTGAAGATTCCTTATCCACAATGCTTCAAGGGCTGTGAGGGTGTGAATGCGTTCAGGTAATGACTTTAACTTATCGCATCTGCTGAGGTCCAATTGACTCAGGTTGGGAGTGGGCAATCCTCCCTGCGAAAAACACACCAAATTTGGACACCCGAAGATATCCAATTGATTGAGATGACTTAGATTCTCAACCGCTCCTTCTTCTTCAATCAAGCAAAGCGATTCCAGATTCTCACAATTGCCAATATCAAGTGTCGTCAATTTGGGAAAAATGCCCAAGGGGAAGGACCTCATTGAATCACAGCTATTCACTAGACTCAAAGAGAGAAGCGATGTTAATTGGGCCAACATCTCATGAGGTAGGAATTCTAATCTCCTACAACTGTATATCCTAAGTGAAGTCAACGAAGTGGGTAGGCCATCTTCAGGGAACGACGACAGGGTTGGACAATTCCAGAGAGTCAAACTTTGAAGATGATTGATGTTGGGCAAGCATTGTATGTCATTAAAATTTATAATCCTAAGTCGGGACAGGAGTTTTGTCTCTAGTAATGATAACAGACCTGTTTGGCATCCATCTTCTATTTTCAATTCTTGAAGAGAATTGTAGTTGAGATTGGTACTAGTACTAGTAGCAGCAGTGGCCCTTTGATCATGTAAAACTCCACACCCTTCCACGCTAAGCTTCTTCAAGCAAGGCAGATCACAAGGCAAGCTTCCTCTCAGCTTCGGACACATTTCTAGAATTAGCTCCTGGAGATGAGGAAAGTCTGGACCTCCACTCCCACTTGGTACCCATTCCTCCCACTCTGCCATCTCCGTAAACTCCAGCCTCTCCAACGATTGAAATGGCTGAAATGGCTGACCATACAACTCAGGACCTAACGTCCTAAGAAATTTCATCTTACATATGACGAGCTCCTTAAGAGCAGGTAGCTGTCCAAGCGGTGGCAACTCGAAGCAATAATGACAGTCTTTGAGGTGCATAACTTTTATTTTATTGAAGGCAGAGTCTCCCAACCAGTTTGGGAAGCTGGTCCCACCATAAAGTTTGATTGTCAATTTCTCCAAATTCATGCAAGGTTGGAGCTTGTCAAGTACATCTCTCACCTTTTCGGAATGATCGGCATCTTCGGAGCTCCATGCCAACTCTAACTCCTTGAGATCTTTCTTGTTTTTCAAATTAGCTCGCCAGGCATCCCTACCATCAACTACATTATTAAGCTTCAAAATAGAAAGTTTTCCTTCAAGATGAGACAACTCCCTCAATTCTCCAATAGTCGACCCGTTAGATTTCCCCACAAAAAAAGTAGTCAATGTTCTCAAACTTTTTAGTGTACCCATTTGCACCGGCATCTCTTCAATTTGTGTTCCACTACAATCAAGATGCCTCAAGTTAATCAATTTCCTCATGTCTGTAGGCAATTCAATTAGAGAGGAACAATATGATAATAGTAATGTCTGTAGATTGTAGAGAGTGCAAACTGTGGAAGGTAACCTTTTGATTCCAGTATTAGAGAGATTCAAGTAGCGCAAATGAATGAGGTTACCAATAGAATTGGGTAACTCAACAATATTATTATATTTTGACAACTTTAACACCCGTAAACATAATAGAGATGGCACTAACTCATGTAAAACCCTTTTACTTACATAACGCGGAGACATGTGTGATCTTAGAGGTAGGAAGGTTCGCAAATTCTTAACCTCATATAATGGCTCAAATTTCGCAGCACAATCAAAGTGCCCTCTAGCATACGACAAATGTCGAACTCTTTTCAAAACTTCATGTGATTCGCCCCCTTCCCATCTCAAACAGGATTCCCTAAACACAGACATAGCTAAGTCATTGATGAGATCATGCATTGTGAACTGTGATTTCACATATCTTGATCTTTGAAAAAATGACCGTGATAATAAGTCATCAAAGTATTTCTTAGTGAGCTCTTCCATTCTTTTTTCACTCTCAGCTTGTGGAATTAAACTTTCTGCCACCCAAAGTAGAACTACATCTTCCTTTTGGAATTCATAGCCTTTTGGGAAAATTGAGCAATAAGCAAAGCATCGTTTTAAATAAGTTGGGAGATAATGGTAACTCAATCTTAAAGCCGGAATTGTGTTGCATTTCTCATGGGGTAGCTCCCAAATATTGCTATTTAATATGTTATTCCATTCCTCATAATCTGTGTTGAAACGTAAGAGGCCTCCAAGTGTCTCTGCAGCTAATGGTAAACCGTTGCACTTAGAAGCAATTTTCTTACCAACTTCTTCCAGCTCTAGATGTGCACTTGAGTTTCCATTTTCAAAGGCATGTTTTGAAAGTAACAACCAGCAATCCTCATCAGACAACTGTTTCAAATAGTGAATTGGAACGGTGCGCACGAGAGATGCAACACTTTTGTTCCGTGTTGTCACAATAACCCTACTTCCCCTTGCTCCGGATGCAAAAGGACGTTGTAGGAGACTCAAATCACCATAGTTCTCATTCCAAAGGTCATCCAACACAAATAAAAATTTCTTGCCCTTTATTTGTTGTCCTAGCTCAACTTGAAGAAAACTCAGGTCTTTATTATCATAAGTTTTTGAACTGACTGACTCAAGTAGAGTTTTAGTTACCCTAGTAACATCGAAATCTTCCGAAACATAAGCCCAAGTTCTAAGATTAAAATGCTCTTTCACTTTGTCATCATTATAAAGGAGCTGAGCAAGGGTTGTCTTGCCAACCCCGCCCATTCCCACTATGGTGATGACAGATACATCCTTGTCGCTTGCATCATCAGATAACAACAGTTTCATCAGCTTTTCTTTATCTCCATCCCTACCGTACACACAAGATTCATCCACCAAGGAAGTTGTTGGAGTTCTTTGTGAAATCTTCCCCCCAACAACACCTTCTCTCAGCCCAAGGAAATCCTTTTGCTTTGCAAGGTGCTCTAACCTTTCAAGCAACTCTTGAATCCTACCATTCATGCCTTGATAATTATGATTAAGATAAGTAGGGAGGAAGTTCCACACCTTATTTGTGACGGTTTGAAATTCAGCTTCCACCTTGCATCGCAAAACTTCAGCATTGATCTCATCGAGAAGGTCATCCGCATCAAAGACAGCATCTTGAAGCTTATCAAGCCACTCTTTCACGTAGCTGTTCAGGAATTGCTTCTCCTCCGCGTCATTAAGCACCGCTTTAAGGCTCAACAACGTTATCTCCAGTTTCTTCACAAGCGACTCGTCCAGTTTCTTTCTCCGGAACAAGTCCACGAACTCGCTGGAACCAATCTTGTCAAACAGCACCTGCACGGAGGCAGAGAGAATAGCCTCTCCAACCAAAGCCATGTTTCGATTCTTTGCAAAGGATTTGGACTTGAGTTCAGATTTGAGCAAGTTTTGCAGCAAAGGATTTGGCTGTTGAGAAGTTGAGATTTATGTTGCTCTCAGTATCATTGACTTGGGAGTCTTCGAGTGAGAATATTAATGCAAAAAGACAAGTGCTTTTGTAACGTGGGGACCCACACGGTTAAACTCGTGTTAGATGGCGTTTGGCAGCGCTTAATTTTTTTAAAAAGCAACTTTAATAAAAATTTGGCATGAGTTGGCTGTTTGGTAAACCCCAAAAAACACGCTTATTTTAAAAACACCCATCATAAAAAGCGAAAACTCAAAGTCGCCAATAGCAAGCTTTCAAAATCTGCTTAAAAAAACAGCCAGTTATTTGATTAATGAAACTTTCATTATTCCTATAATGCCCCTAAATATTTTACAAAATGACAACGTTTGACCCTCTCACATAATAGATCTCGCGACCTTCACTCTCTCTCAGACCTTCACTCTCACAGACTGCTCTTCTCACTTTTCTTCTTCTTCCTCCTCCTGCATCTCAATTCCAGTCGCAATCAAGGACAATCCATTGCTAACAACAATCAGCTACTCATCAGTGAGTTCATCTTTTCATTACATTTATGATTTTTGGGTTTATATATGTTATGAAATTAGGTTTTTTTTTTGGTTTCTATGAGATTGGGGGCTTTGTGTTCTTGGGGTTATAGGGGGAAGACACGGGAAAGAGACAGAGAGACAGCGAGACAGAGAGAGAGTTTTGCTCCTAGTTTTGTACTGGGTTTGTCTCTCCTTGCTTTTTGGCAAGGTTTTTTTTTCTCCCTAGCTTGGTCTAGGGTTTTCAATTGGTTCTCTCTGTTTCTCTTTCTCTGAAACATGTATGTCCTAGATGCTTTTTTTCTGTAGATTACCCAACCATCATTGTTCATAGATTTACTCATTGTACAGTTTGGTACAATTCCAAAATCTCATGCATAAAACCCGGTAGGCCAATCTGGTTATATATAAATTTTTCAGCAGCTCTGTCAATTGCTTTTTGATATTTTTTTTGGCACTCCCTTCGACAGTATTTGATTTATATATGCTTCTCTGATTAGACCTCCATAACATACTGATTTAATTTTTGTTGATGTGCATTATCAAGTTGGATACCAATACAAATTTTGGAGCTGTCTGATTTTGGTTTTGTAGTTCTTTTTTCTTTGCCTAAAACCAATTCAGTAACCTTTTAATTTCAGTAATTTCATGAGCATTCCTTTTCATCCACTAGTGTATATGATACAAAGCCTACTCTCAATCAGTTCCCTCCAAGGAATAAATCTTAAGTTGGAATTCTCCTTCTCCCAAATGTCCTGATTGATTAAGAAAGAAAATTTTGACGTTGCCTGATTTTGTTCATTTTATTGGCTACAAATCAAAGAAGCCATCTTTGCTTTCATGCTCTATGGTGTTGTGTTGGAGAACTGGTCTTTCTGACTGAAGAAAAAACAGTTTATGTTGCATCCAGTTTCCTTCTTATGCTGGAGCTATCATCCAGTTTATGTTGCATCCAGTTTATGTAACTATCATCCCACTATCCTCCTTAGAACCCAATACATGTTTTGGAATCTAAATTGTCGTCTACTGCCAACTTAAATAAAATGTGGTTCACATAAAGAGGACAAAGGGTTTTGGACGACTGATATGACTCACTACATCATCATTCTTGTTTCTTTGCTTTTCTTGAATTTTGCTTCTCTATCATTCACATTTCATTGTCTGTGAAAAAGTCTTAGCAGGTTGTGGTAGACATTTTGATGCTTCAAATGATATCTTAGGTGAAGAGATAGGTGAGGATGTTGATGTACAACAAGAACTTCATAGTCTTCATGACAATGGAACACAAGAGATGGAAGCATTGAGAAATAGCATCTCTACAAGTTTAATGAATGCATCTAATTAGCTTCTTTTATATTGTAGTGATCTATTTGGGCATGTTAAAATTGAATTTTTTTTGTATATTTGTTATGTTAACCCTCTCTGAAGCCCTCAAAACACATTGTTATTATTAATATAACAATATTTAGAACTACTTTTGTTACAATACTAATTTATAATTTTATGGTAATATATGTGTGCTAATTGTAGATTACATTTTTTTATTAAAAAAAAAGTGTAAATTAAAATTAAAAAAAAAATTATGTAGTTAAGTTTGTTTTCTTTTTTTTAAAATACAAAAAGAATGAAGAAAAAAACAAATTGTTTCATCACCATGACCTTTTCGGTCATTATACATACTAAAAGCACTTCTGATA